CCAGTGTTGCATTCTTGGATTGAGTTTGCCGATTTAACATTGTAAACATGCATTGCAACAAAATACATTTTGTTAAACGACAAAACATTAACTGTTTTGCTGAATAAGTAGCAATACCTAGTGTTCGAATACTCATTGTTCGTGTATACGCCGACAAAACAGAAGTTACTTTCTTAGCTTTACATTGTCGAACAATCATGATACAGATCAGCATAATACAGCTTAACACGATTTTCAATAGGAGATAAAATAAGCTCCGCCAATTTCTCGCCCACTACATCATCGTAAATAAACGTATTTATCCGCTCATTTTCGGTATTTACCGTCGGCGACAAGAAGCAGCGTAGTTTCCGTTTACCACACCTTTTAGGTGTCTAGATATTCACCAAATATAATTCACTTGCATGATTGCCATTCTATGCCTTTATACAATCAACAACAGCGGACTTTAAAGGATTATAAGTTTTAAGACGGTGTAGATACCACATTTTCTAGAAAAAGAAACTAAAAATAATAATAAAAAACTCACTAGGTTACTTAATGTCTGAGGTTAAATATTTTTCAAGGAAGTAAAAACTATTGATAAGACTATATTCAACGACAAATTAATTTTACTGAGGGTATCTCAATTTGCATAGGAATAAGTAACATTTACAGTTAAGCTGCTACCTTACCACTTTCAAATTGTCAAGTCAACATCTGATAGATATTTTGTTACCGACTAAATACTAATACAGACCAAATTCTGGCTTAGTAGCATTTACTATTACATTAGTAACCTTAATTCCAGCGTATGACTGGACAAAAACAAAATTTTAACAATAGTAATATTATAACCAAAGTTGATTTACCATACTGTGTAGATATATTTTACAATTTTTACCAGTTTGTTTTTCAATAATAATATTCAAATGAGTCCAAAGGTATGTATGTCGATTATCAATTTATGTATACCTTGTTTATTTTATCTCTTAAATAGCCATCACTTACAAAACTTAATAAATATTCTGTTTAGTATTTCATGTACATAAAAATAGTTCTCTGCGTTTGCTCAGATAGACAGCAAGTCTATGTAACAGCTATTGCACAGATTTAAAGAGTTGTTATTGATTCAGTACAATGCATAAAAAGACCTTAACCTACGTCAGCTTATATATATTTAATAATAAAAGGCTAAATCACATCCTATGACTCAAAATACCTCCCAATGGATGTAAACAGAGATGCTAGGATACACTGAATATTTATTTCAACATTAAAATGGGATAAATTCACAAGTTTTTGGTTATACAACGGAATTATCGATAGTTAATGCTGAATTGTTCCGTGGTTATACACTTGGTCAAAAACATGCGTTTTTCTACAACCCAATATAGTCCTTTAAAGAAAGAAGGCACAGGCTTGTGTTGCCAAAAGTGACTTCCATGTATCACTTTCTAGTACTATTTGCTGAATGTTAAAGATACGAGAATTACCGTGTAACGTTTGAAGGCACACAAACCCTATCGCCCATGTCAGTAAATAGTGGTGTTGTATATATGGGAAACATTCGTTTATGTTAATTCACCAACTTTAGTTTTTGCATATTATTATGCTCATTATCAGTATGTTACGTTGTTACATTATATCTTAACCAATTTTGCATTACTTGAATATCCTGTACTAAAATACGTTTTAACAAAATCAGAAGATGTTCAAAGTCAACTGTAATGCAGTTGATGTATGTGAAATTTACAACAGTTTCTATATAATTTAGAACACTTATGTATCAACAAGAGTTACCTCTCTTTATATTCTGCTTTCGTAAAAATTGGCTCCGCCTATTAATTTTCGTCTATTTTCGTTTAAATTCCATATATGGAAGTTACAAAAGCGTTTACAGATGTTAATCGCATTAGAATGTAAAAGGAAAGTGTGGTGTTGTAAACCTGAGTGTGTCAAATTGATGCAGTTACATTCTAAACGTCATTATGTACAGCATTAAACGTATTGTGTACGTTCTATCATTTACATTTCTATATGTCGCAAAATTGAAGTTATACATTTATAAATACAGTTTGCAATTTATCTAAGTTGCATGTTTACTGCTTCAATTTTATCAAATCGAGATAATCAAAATGCTTAATACCAGTGCAGTATGTAACTCTCGGATCGACAATTACATTTTTACTAATATGTTTAGTAGAACCGAAGTAGGTGCTGCATTGCAAAGTTTCAAAGGCTGGATTTTTGGCATTGTATAGCCTCCATAATATCGAAGGCAGATATTGGAGTTGCTCCTGCAACACTTGCTTATAGAGATGATAATGAATTATTCCTAGTGGCAGGACAAAATCAGAGTATACGAACTAAAAGAATTCTAAAATTGTTTGGGCATTAAACATAAGGATATTTTGCAAAAAAATATTATACAGTGCATGTCAAAACACACAAAAATAAGCTTTGGTTTAAACATATTTATCTCAGCTCGATTGCTTTTAAAAGACTTCAATGATTCCTGGTGTTTTCAAATACTGAACTTAATTTTTTACTTTTCGTATATTTCGAAATCACAATAAAAACCCAAGTACTAGCCGTGTAAGATAAAATAGATTTTCTTTCTTTCATCTTTTTTTATTTTTTTTAACTGTATCGTCGGGTTCCCTAAGTTCGTTCCTGTCTTAATGACAACATTGCTCCTGTGTATGTCAGAAAGTCTCAACAAATTGTTGTTAAGAGAAAAGACAGTTGGATATTTTTAACACCATAGTAATTTTTAATGTATCTTCCAAATTTCTTCAACATAGAACGCCTGGATCATTAACAGAAAAATAGCACTGTTAGATACCTAGGGTGACGAATCATGGCCGCCCGAGGATAAATCATGCATTTCTGCAATGCAAAATTTCAATATCAAGTATCATTATTAAAAAATATGAATACAGGATTTGAAAGCAGGAACTTAATATCACTGTGACAGATACTAATTATGTTTTCTTAAAATTCTATTTCAAATTTTCCTCATTTTTGTGTCGCCTCTACGGAGTAGTGGCGACATATAGGGATCACTTCTCCGTCGTCTGTCTGTCCGTCTGTCCGTCTGTCCGTCACAAAACTTGTCCGGACTACTCCTCATTAACTACTGGTGCAATTTCATCCAAACTTTACAGGAATGATCAGTACCAAGTGTAGTTGTGCATATTGTCAGCATTTTCCGGTTCAATGATTTTTGGCAGAGTTATGGCCCTTTAATAATTTTTAATTTTAAAGTTTGTCCGGACTACTTCTCTTATACCACCAATGCAATTTCAATGAAACGTTACAGGATTGATCTGTAGCTCAAGTCCTTGCGCATATTGCAAGGGTTTTCCAGTTGATGATGATTTTTTCAATGATTTTTGGCCGAGTTATGGCCCTTTGATGGTGTTTTTTTCTGTGTGTTGCCAGATACACAAAAGCTTGTCCGGTCTACTCCTCATAAACTGCTGGTGTAATTTCATCCAAACTTTACAGGAATGATCAGTACCGAGTCTAGTTGTGCACTGTCCGTCTGTCTGTCCGTCTGTCACAAACTTTGTCCCAACATGAAATTGGCCATCATGAGGCGACACATGTGTTTACTGATCGCTCTTGTTTATCATTCATTGTAGAAATGAATAGCAGTTTCATATTATATAACATTTAAAAACTTCCTGATCGCAACAACATTTGTACTGTAACCCCTTTTATTCAAGAACCCTACCTGTACCCTAATAATAAAAGATCCATATACAGTCCTACGCATAAACCCTTCCAGCCTGCTGAATCTCAGTAAGGGCTTATCAGCTAGTAAATCACTATTAACTGTATATCTCCCATTAACATGTCCACTGAGTTGAGAGTTTTGTCATTATTTATTGGTCCTCTGTGTTCTTATCTAAGGGCCCTAACGTTGAAGGATCAAATTTCTGAAGATACACTCACTTTTTATCGATGTTTTTTTCTCTGGGTCTGCGGCCAAAGTGAATTGTAACTTTTAGCAATTATTGAATTATTTGTAAATATACTTTATATCACTAATAAATTTTAGCTACTAAATGAATTATATGTTGGGATATACCTTTATAAGTGATCTTCATCTTCTTAATTAATAAACTTTCATAGTTAAGTGTCACTGTTACTCATCCCCCCCCCCCAAAAAAAAAACGCTAAAAAACAAAAACAAAAAAAAAACATTGTAATTTTTTACTGCAAAGTGCAAGACTCTTAACTAATTAAGTGACCAGGTAAGTGATATTTTTATTATTAGCTTGACTACATAAAGTATATGTAGACCTATCCTACTCACCTCGGTTTTTAAGTTCGCGCCAGCGTACATACTTTAAATTAATGCCTATAGATGTGCAGTAAATATTTTATCCCTAACTTTTTTTATTAGCTCATCTGAGGACAATGTCTGTGCGTCAAAAATTTATTTAAACAACTTCTACTCCTAAACCACTTAGCCAAATTTGTTAAAACTTTGCAGGAGTGTACCTTGCATAAAGCTCTACCAAAGGTATTCAAAGAATAAAACCCCATGCAGAACTTTGATTGCCAAAGCAACCAAAAAAAAATATAAACCTTTCTTTAAAAAAAATCCAAAGAGCTAGAGCTTAGATATTTGGCATGAAACATCTTATACTGAGTGTCTATCAAGTTTATTCAGATCAAAGCCCTGGGATAAAATTTACCCCACCCAAGGGTCATTAATTTTCATTATACATCTGTATGTACACATGTATTCCTTATCATCATACACATCATGTGATAAGGTGTTGAACTCAAAAAACAGTATTTACAGAACAGTTTCCCTTTGAACATATAATTTTCCATAAAATAATGTTATTTTTTACTCTACGTCTTCATTTCATCATAAGGGATTGACTTAAAACTTGTGTACCTTACCAACAACTACATCATATGTGACAATGTTGTTCACTTAACCCATTTGCGCCTGTTGTCTACTTTTGTAGACACTAGCAGTTATCAGTACGCTAGGACCTAATTATGAGCGCACATTTGTTTATCATTGTTATTCTATACTTGTTGTCATGATAAGCGTTAATTGGACTATTTTGCTAGACAAAATGCAGACCACTACGTTATTTGCAATGTGTTTTCAACAAGAATGTGATAAAAATTGCCTTGAAAATATTATTGAAAATGGCTAGCAGAAACAGGTATGTAAAACTTTATATTGTTTTTATTTTATATCATAAAGTATGATTGTTTTATATTGTATAATTATATTTCTGCTCAATTCCTGTTTTATAATTCAGAAATATGTATAAAATGTGTTATGACAGTCAATTTAGATTTTGTCTACAAAAGTAGACAATAGGATCAAATGGGTACGTTTTATCATTATGAAAATATTTTGTTGTTTACAGAAGATACACAGTAAATGAAATCATATCAATGCTTGAGGATGAAGGTAACTTTGAAAGGGCAGATATACATGTTCATCCACCTCCTGTAGATGAGCTGACAGATGAAGATAGTGCAAGTGAAGATGAAGAAGTAGGTTACAACAACCTCAGTGGACGTCAGTTAGACCAACAAGCAACAGCGACAGTTATTCGCCTAGATGGACGTCATGTTGTTGCTTCAGCATCAGACTCCGATCTAGTTAGTAATAAATAAATAAAATAAATAAATAAAATAAATAAATAATAAATAGATAAATAAATAAATACGAAGCAAGTAAGTAAATAATGTACAGTAAATCCAGTTGAGAATAAGATTTTTTATATTTATCATATTTTATTTTTCAGGAAACTGACCATTCTTCAGATTCTTCTGATACAGATGAATACGAAGTGCCTGCAAATATTGCAAAAAGACCTCAAGTAAGAATTGCACTACGGGATCCAGCTCCGCGTCCCAAACGACCTGCACCAGTAAAGAGGAAGTGGGAAATAAAGACCTATCTGAGCAAGATAAAGACAGATTCACTTGGCATGGCTCAAATATAGACAAAAGTCGATGGCCGCAAACACCAGATGGCATCTTCAACTTATTTTTTGATGATGACGTGATCAACATGATTGTTGAACAGAGTATAAGATATGCTGGTTCAAAGGGCAACCGTTCGTTTTCAACTTCACCTCAAGAAATTAGGATCTTCCTAGCAATTCTGCTTATATCAGACTATAACACTGTGCCAAGACGGAGACAGTTCTGGAGTCGGGATGATGACGTAAGGAATGAGGCAATAGCTCATACAATGCCGCGAGACAGATTCGACATATTGGTGCGATATGTACATCTTTGCGATAACAACAATCTTGACAGAGAGGACAAGTTTAGCAAAGTAAGACCACTGCTATGTCTGCTGAATGAGCGCTTCTTGTTATACTTCTTGAAAGAGAAAAACCTTTCAATCGACGAAAGCATGATCCCGTACTATGGGCGACACGGAGCGAAACAATTTATTCGTGGGAAACCAATTAGGTTCGGTTATAAGATGTGGGCGTTAACGACAGCACTTGGATATGTTTTACAATTTGAGCCCTATCAAGGGCAAAAGGCCACCAAACCCATGATCCTGGCTTCCTTGGAATGGGCGGAGCAGTAGTTATGGACCTGCTTTCAGAGCTGCAGAAAGATGATGCATACCATCTGACTTTTGATAATCTATTTACTTCCCTGAAGCTCGTGGACCGGCTTACAGATATGGGAATATCTTGCACAGGAACCATCCGTGCCAACCGAATAGAAGATTGTCCTGTCAAAAATGTAAAAGACATGGGAAAAACGCAACGAGGAAACTATGATAAAAGGTATGACGCACACAAAGGTCTGATAGTGGTGAGGTGGAATGACAACAATATAGTGAATGTGGTGTCAAATTGCCATGGAGTTGAACCATTGCAACAAGCAACACGGTGGTCAAAGCAGGCAAAGGCTAGGGTGCGCCTTCCGCAGCCATACCTTATAAAGCATTACAACCAGACAATTGGAGTGTGGACAGGATGGATCAAAATGTTGAGAAAGTATCGTATCTCTATCAGATCCAAGAAGTGGTGGTGGCCAGTGTTTATGTATTGCATTGACCTTGCGGTGCAGCAAACCTGGCACATTTACCGTGCTACTGATGCAGGATTGAGGCAACCATTAGATCTGTTAGGTGTCAGACGAGCTCTGGTTACTGTGCTGCTTGCTCAGGGGCGTACACCTGCTGTCAGCCCTGGCAGACCAAGAGGTAGGATGAGGCCATTGTCAAGAAGAATTCCAGACCATATCCGACTTGATGGTAAAATCATTACGCAGAGTCAGCAAAAGAAGTGCGCTGTTCATAGTGTGGAAAAAAATGCAGGACACAATGTTCCAAATGTAATGTTGGAGTGCACAGGAAATGCTTTGAAATGTTTCACAGTGTTTAAGTATTCATACGATCAAAGCCAAGGACATGAACAATAATAATTCATATCAGAATGAATTTCAGAGTGAACACTTCTGTGCCTAATGTCTACTTTTGTAGGAAAAGTAATAGAAATCTTTGCCTGTATAAAACTTTAAGGATTTTTCAAATAAAAGTTATCAAATAAACCAACAATAGGTTATCTGGACATATATTCTATATGTGTTTTACATATACCCATTTGCGCCTGTTGTCTACTTTTGTAGACAAAATATTAAAACACTAAAATAAAAAATACAGTACTTATATTTGAAAAATAAACGGATATATGTTATAACTATATGGTTACTATATGTTTTATACATTTCTTATATAAAAATAAAATTCCGGCACAAATGGGTTAAGCACCAATATTTTTCCAGAATATTTCCCCATGAACTCATTTTTTCCCTCAAAAAATGTTACTTTTTACTAACTTCCTTATTTCTTAATGTATCTACTTCTAACTTAAAATATATGTTCCTTATACATGTGTGACAATATTCATAACTCTAGCATAAATATTTCCAGAATTATTTCCCCTTTGAACATGCCCCCGAAGGGTGGCATATTAAAATCGAACCGTCTGTCCGGCTTTATACATATAGACAGTGGTGGTCTTGTCCGTTCTGAAACTTCAGTATGCATGAAAGGATTTTTTTTCATATATGAAATAACCAAAGATGTATGGTGTGTCGCGAACAAGACTCGGGTTCCTACGACTAAGGTCAAGGTCATTGTTGGGGTTCAAACTTTGTCATTTTTTATGTTATATAAATATAAAAGGTGGTGGTTCTGTCCGCTCTGAAACTTCTATATGCATGAAAGGATTTTATTTTTTCTTTCATATATGAAATAACCATAGATGTATGGTGTGTCGCGAACAAGGCTCGGTTTCTTACGACTAAGGTCAAGGTCACTGTGGGGGTTCAAACTTTCAATTTTGATGTTAATATACATATAGGCAGAGATGGTCGTGTATGCTCTGAAACTAATATGCATGAAAGGATAATATGTTTTATTTCACATATGAAATTATCATAAATGTATGATGTGTTTCCCTTAATACATATAAATGGTGGTTGTCGTGTCCGCTCTGTAACTTCCATATGTATGAAAGTTTCATTTTTAGCTCGACTATTCGCAGAATAATCGAGCTAATGCAGTCACCCATTTGTCGGCGTCGGCGTCCCTGTGGTTAAGTTTTTGTATGTAAGCTGGTATCTCCATAACTACTGAAGGGAATGGATTGAAACTTCACACACTTGTTCTCTGTGATTATCTAAGATGATTGGCACAAGTCCCATAACTCTGATTTGCTTTTTTACATAATTATGCCCCTTTTTCGACTTAGAAATTCTTGGTTAAGTTTTTGTATGTAAGCTGGTATCTCCATTGAACTACTGAAGGGAATGGATTGAAACTTCACACACTTGTTCTCTGTGATTATCTAAGATGATTGGCAGAAGTCCCATAACTCCGATTTGCTTTTTTACATAATCATGCCCCTTTTTCGACTTAGAAATTCTTGGTTAAGTTTTTGTATGTAAGCTGGTATCTCCATAACTACTGAAGGGAATGGACACTTGTTCTCTATGATTATCTAAGATGATTGGCACAAGTCCCATAACTCTGATTTTTTTTTACATAATTATGCCCCTTTTTCGAGTTAAGTTTTTGCGTGTAAGCTGGTATCTCCATAACTACTGAAGGGAATGGATTGAAACTTCAAACACTTGTTCTCTGTGATTATCTAAGATGATTGGCACAAGTCCCATAACTCTGATTTGCTTTTTTGCATAATTATGCCTCTTTTTTGACTTAGAAATTCTTGGTGTAAGCTGGTATCTCCATAACTACTGAAGGGAATGGATTGAAACTTCACACTCTTGTTGTCTGTGATTATCTAAGATGATTGGCACAAGTCCCATAACTCTGATTTACTTTTTGGCATAATTATGCCCCCTTTTCCATTCATAAATTCTTGGTTAAGTTTTTGTGTGTAAGCTTGTATCTCCATAACTACTGAAGGGAATTATTGAAACTTGAAGGGTTTGTACCTTTTCAGACAATTTTATGTATTCATATAGGTAAGCATTATTATACTCAATGAAACACCCTTGTGACAAATTTTCGAATAGTCGAGCGTTACTGTCCTCGGACAGTTCTTGTTTTAAATATAAAGTCACCATAGATGGACAATGTGTTGTGAACAAGACCCAGGTTTCTTTGTCTAACTTAAAGGTCACTCAGCTGGGGTTCGAACTTTGTCAATTTTTACCACCACACTTAACATGTTATAGGTGGTTCATAACTAGAATCCTTTAGGGGCATTTGACACGTTCTGTGACAGCTCTTCTTTATATATCTTTATATATTTATATTTTTGCTCTTACTTCTTTATTTATGAAAGAATTTACTTCTAACTTTAAACAATAACATGACAAGCTACATTACTCTAGCGTCAATATTTTCAGAATCATCATCCTTTTATACTCAGAATTTTCCGCATTAAATTTGGACTTAAAAATATGTTTCTGAACACTTATATCAGGTGCGAATAGATTTATAACTCCTGTATTTTTAGAATTATCTCCATTAAATTTTGAACATGGGATTGAGGGAAAATTCATATATTTCTGAGTATTATCTTTGTCCTGAGTCCTGGCTCCTCTGGCAGCTATTGTGACTTTTGGTGTCCAGTTATGGTTTCCTAACAATAACTTAAAGGTCATCAATTGTTTACTATTATCTGCTCTTTTGCAATTGGTAAAGTTAAAGTGATTTAGTATTTTGTATGGAAGTCAAAATACTACTTTGGTTACATTTTGCTACCTTTTTTACATTTTTTTTTCACTTCAGAGCTCCTTTTCAACCAAATTGAATGATAAGCATCAATAATGCTTTAAACCCATTATTTTTATTATTATTACTAAACATTATTTTGCTCCTTAAGAAAAAAATAAAAATAATATAAATGTCTGAGGCATGATATGCATTTACCATGAAAGTAATTATACATTAGTATTTTTATTGTGAGCACAGGAACTCGGCACAGTGTTGGGATAGTGTAAAAAGAAATTTTAGAAATAAAAAACCTATTCAATATTTTTGTTTCTAAAATTAATTTTTACACTATCCCAACACTGTACCGAGTCCCTGTGATTGTGAGTTGTAAGTGATTAAAATTCTTTTTAATGTAATCCAGTCTTTTTAGTCTCTAACTTATTTCAAATTGAATGTATCTATGAAAATCTTAGTTTCCCTTATATCTAAAATGTTCTCTATATCCTCCAGCTAAAACTATACATTCTTGAAACATGATAGGATCATAAAACATTCTTAGGGTGCTGCTATCAGTGATACTGTGACAAGCCATGTAATTATAATTAAATGCTCATCACTGGCCAGAGATGTGAAATTTTGGGGGAAAACTGGAAATCTTGGGTTAATGCGTAGGACTGTATATGTAGTAAGCAAGTCTACAAGATATAATAAGCCACGCCTTTAATATAAAATATCATTATTGTTACTGTGTGTATGTTTACTTGATGTTTGGGAGTTACGGAATGCCGTTAGGGCCATTGCCTATGAATGTGTTGATCTGAAACGCGATAGTCGATAGTACGATGGTGAAAACGCGAAATCACGAAACTACGATGGTGAAAACGCGAAAGTACGATGATGAAAACGCGATAGTACGATGATGAAAACGCGACAGTACGATACTACGATGATGAAAACGCGATAAACTATCGTGTTTCACCATCGTACTGTACTACTTTATTAATAATTCAAAAAGCATACCTTCACCACATTTAAACTCAAGAACCATGTCTTCACCTCATTTTATTTAAAGAGCCATAAATTCCTCTGTAACTACTTCAATTCAAGAATTATACCTTTACCCCATTAATTCAAGAACTTTATCTTTACCCCCTCACCCGAACATAATTTCAGTCACGGGCAGGCACTTTAACTTTACCGCCAAATTTCCCTGAAGCTAGCAGTAAAGCTTTTTTACATTTAAACTCTCTATCTCATACGAGGTGGTTGTATACAGAGAAGTAATATATCTTCTGATAAAACTTAATAGAATATGATGTGGGCTCTCTTTAGAAGGTGTATGGTAATTATAGTGTAGAGATACTAGCAAAAAATATATCTTCATTTAGTTAAAACGTTTCAGACTTGTAAACAGTGACAAATTTAAACTCCAACGTAATAATAGTTTATAACCGGGCATTGTTGTTGTTGTAGATTATATGCGGACATTTTAATATCAAATTTTATTGAAAAAATGAAATTTCTACTTTCTATACTCGTTAATAACTTGAATGTGTTGCTTGCAATGATAACAATGATAATTGTAGAGAAAACGATCTGAATGCTTTAATGGTACGTCTGCGTGTACTTCGAACAGATTTTGCCGACTTGAAAATCCAGCACGATGAACAGATAAAGAGTATCGCAGTTCTCAAGGAAGCGAATGCTAACCAAGAAACAGAACTTAAAAAGCTTAGACAAGAAATCAACGGTGAATCTTCAGAAATAAAACTTATCAACATAAAAAACAGAAAACAAGAAATAGATATTATAGGACTTAAACAAAAAATCAGCACTACATCTTCAGAAATCAACACAGTAAACAGAAAACAAGATACAGACCGTAACAAACTTAGACAAGAAATAGCGGCAATTAAAGGTATTGTATTAAAATATTTATTCTAAGATGACATTGCTTATTAAGATGAATTAATTGAGGTAGTCTTTGACATGACTTGGTCAGAACTTATTTTCAAGATATTCATTCCATTTGATTAAGGTCTTTACCAATACTATGTACAAAATTTCAGAACATTAAAGAAAGATACTCACTACTTTTTGCAATTGTTATCACTTTTATTGCGCAAAATTTATTTAATAACAAAAAAGAAAACTCAAATCGGTCTAAAAATTGCTCTAAAATCAATTTTCTGTATTAGACTTAGTATATTTCTACATATTTTTCCATTTTAAGTGTCCCAGTTGAGTTATGTAAAAAAATTTACATTTTATCTTTTAAGGGTTTTGGACCTCAAAGGAGCTACTTTAAAATGTTCAGTGCATAAAAAATTAATAATAAAAAAATCATACTTGAAATTAAATATAGTGTTGTTTGAAAATCATGTATTATTCAGGTTGAAGAGAAATAGCTGCAAAATCATTGTGAGCACTAAATGTCATGCCAAACCAACGACATTTCAAGTAGTCCGCACGTTTAATCGATATACCAAAGTTAGGTTTACAACATATCATTTTGTGCCATCAATAAAACGGGGGCATTTAGATTTACCCTTGTCCGTACGTTCATCCGTCCATCCGTCCGTTCTCATTTTGTGTCGCATTAGCTCAAAAGTATTTTACCTAGAGTCATGCAACTGTACAGGAATGTTGCAGTTGTGCACCTTGGGTTTCGCTTTTTATATGCCCGAAAGAATTTCGGGCATATAATGTTATACCCCCTGGCGTCCGTCCGTCCGTCTGTCCGTCCTTCCGTCGGTCCGTCCGTCCGTTAGCAATTTGGTTTCCGGAGCATAACTTAAGTTCCATATGGCCAACAATATTCAAACTGCATAGGATGATTGTCCATATTAGGTAAAAGACCTCTATTGATTTTGGGGTCACGAGGTCAAAGATCAAGGTCACTATGATCTTAAAACTGAAAACAGTTTCCGGAGTATAACTTAAGTCCCATTTGGCCTACAGTGTTCAAACTTCATATGATGATTGTCCATATTAGGTAAAAGACCCTATTGATTTTTGGGTCACAAGGTCAAAGGTCAAGGTCACTATGACCTTAAAACTGAAAACAGTTTCCGGAGCATAACTTAAGTCCCATTTGGCCCACAGTGTTCAAACTTCATAGGTTTATTGTCCATATTGGGTATAAGACCCCTATTGATTTTTGGGTCACAAGGTCAAAGGTCAAGGTTAATATGACCATAAAACTGAAAACAGTTTCCGGAGCATAACTTAAGTTCCATTTGGCCTACAGTGTTCAAACTTTATAGGATAATTGTCTATATTGGGTAGAAGACCCCTATTGATTTTACAAGGTCAAAGGTCAAGGTCACTATTACTTTGAAATTGAAAACAGTTTCTTGAGCATAACTTAAGTTCTATTTGGCCTACAATATTCAAACTTCATAGGATGATTGTCCATATTGGGTAAAAAAACTATTGATTTTGGGGTCACAAGGTCAAAGGTCAAGGTCACTATTAACTTAAAACGGAAAACAGTTTTCTGAACATAACTTAAGTTTCATTTCATTAATCACATCCCCTGACCCCACATGCCTTTTTCTTTTTCAAAAACTTAAAATAGTCAGTCTGGAAAGGTTCATAAATGTCACAGGGTCTATAATAAAATATCTCTATTGCAAACTCTGATATGTTCTTTAGAAAATTGATAAACTGACTGAAACGGTGACGGTTAGTGCAGATGGTTAAGATCTTGGAGGACATAGTGAGTTAAAATGATAAGACCTTAAGTTGTATTTTTATAATAGCAGCAAGTGACATTTTGCTTGAAATATCCATCTTAAATAACTCGTATTTTTATAAAAGCAGCAAGTGACATTATGCTTGAAATATCCATCTTAAGTATAAAATCACAAACAAACTATTTCAATCTCTATGAACGTAATGCTAACAATTTAGTTATTATAATTGCTATACTTGCACATGTAAATATGAATTCGTTATAATTATAATAACCTGAAGAATTAAATGGTGAGGAATAAAGAATGCCTAATAAAAGTTCAAAACGACAAAATAAAGTTGTTGCTGCCTCGATTCGTGCCTGTTCGTGGACGGTACTAAAAATTTCAAACCACCGTCCACGCCTTCTAGCACTGGTTCAGGTGGAGTTCAACAATTAATAAGGGTAAAATTTTGAAGTCAGTTATATTTGCAAAAGTTTACGCGAACTCAAAGTGTCTTGTTAGGAAGGATAAAACTTATATTTATTTTCCTCTAGATTGCATGTATATCAATTCTTATTTTTGTGAGGTTGGTTTCTCAAGCGTTTTCAGATTATGATTAATAGTCATTGATAGTATTTATTTGTAGTTTGTAAGATGATTCTATACAAAAGTCAATTAGCTTCAGACCAAAAAACTTACGTACGATTTGACTTTTTAATCTTTTTTATCTGCAGACAAGTCCCTTCTACCAATTGTTGGATTCAACGCCCGTCTTTCTTCTACAAAAACGGTAAGCCAAGGAGACAAGGTCGTTTTCGAGATCGTCATGATAAACAAAGGAGAAGGTTACGACAATTCTACCGGGATATTTACTGCACCGTACACTGGACTTTATTTCTTCTCAGTCCATGTTTGTAGTGGGACAGGGAGCTATGTGTCATACGCAATATATCAAGATGGTTCACAGTTAACAAGGAGTTCACAGTATGATAATTATGTTTATAGCTGTAGTTCTGTTAGCACAATCGCCATAGTAAACAAAGATGAACAAGTGTGGGTACAGATAGAAGAAACCTCACTGTTTTTTACTGATGTTATCAGATCGAATACATTTTCTGGATATCTTTTAAACAAATAACTACATGTATATATTAGCAAAACAAGGTATAAAATATACCCAGGAAAGTTCCCATAACCGGATATTTATATTAATTATATGACAAAAACGGATTCGCTTGCAATTTATCACTTAATATAAAGATAATTAAAATACTAAACAAGTCTTGCCTAGAAAAGGCTCGTCATTCGTTATATAGTTATATGTATATATTTGAGGGAAATACATTTAATGTGTTTTCTTAAGAAACCCGTGGATCTAAACATGACTCACACAGAATCTTGTGTCAACGAATCATTTTAAGGCGGTTTAGTAATTTTTTATTAAGCTGCACAAAAAACCGTTGGAAACCAGCATATTGTTCGTGGAACTGGAGATTGTATTTTTTTGTTTGTTCGCTTTGTTTTGTTTGTGCTTTGTAGGCGAGTGTCGTGTGAAAATAGCACTCTGTTTTTCTTTATACTTTTTCTTTTTTCTTTTAAGTTTGTATAAATTTCTAATGCATAATAGGACATACGAGTATATCGATTTATTCAACAGAAGCAAGGAAAGAAAATAACGCCAAGCATTCAACGGTTGAGCGTACGAAAATAACTCAAGTTTAAAGCTATCATTTTGGTGTATATGTTTACAACCTCGGTGAGTCAGTAAATATGGCATCCAGAACGCCACGATTATATTTAATGAAATACCCTGTCAATAACCTCACTGCGGTATACCGTACCCCGGATATTGCTCGATATTATGAGGACTTTCATCCCATTTCGCGACTTTAAACGGGGAACGAAGGCAAGTTCAGCGACGATATTTTCAAAACAAACGGCTATTTCATTTATCTCCACGGGTTTTATATATCTAGACGTATTTTTGTAGCTCTAAAAGACATCAAAGTATTGCAGGTATTTGTAAAATTGATTAAACTACCCTTAAACGATCGGCTGCTCACTAGAAAATACTGACCGCGATATTGTAGAATCATTAGAAATTATTACCTTACCAAGATAAAAAAATTGAATCGAGCATTTTTTAAAATCATAATCCAAGTATGCTTGGTTCAAATTCCAGGCAAAAGTGTGAAAGTACAAAACGATACAGGTCAAAAAAGAAAGATTCAAGAAAGTGTACCGAGTATTGCTTTTAAGTGTACAGAGTATTGCAAAATAGCCCAACTTTAGTGTACTGTGTATTGCAAAAAGAATGAGCAAATTAGAATGGAAAATCGATGTTATATATTGTCTATTTTCTACGTCTGATTATCAATTTCATTTTATTTTGCTGGTAATGCACTGTTTATGATATTTATTCAAATATTTTAGATTCAACAATGCATTTTCAGTGTTATTGCTGTTCTTTTTCTAAGGACGAATACAGAGATTTAATTTCCCATTTGATTGAAAATCAAACAGTATGTATGAAATAATTTTGAAGCGTGTTAATGCAGATGGCATTAAAGCATGTGTTTATAGTCGACAGCAGGGTCGGGAGATGGGACGAACCATCAAAATTGACGATAAAAATCTTTAAATACATGTCTCAAGAAAATGTGATCAGAGAAAGACATCTCCAAAAAGAAGATACAAAAAATATTTAGATGACATTAATTATACGTTTTTACAGGGCAAGTGTGTCATAAGAAACAAAATTAAACACTTAATAAAATTGTAGCTCGAGGGCTAATGCCGTCCAAGTATGCCGGTATCGTCATCAGGAACATAACCTTTTATTGCATTTGCTGCATAATCTTATCAGAATGCATTATTCGGTTTGAGATGTATACGCTCAACAATCATAACTAATTGCTAATGACTAACAAATTTCACGTACAGACTGTCTGCCGTTGCTAGAATGCAGAAAGTTACCTTAATATGGATTTTTGGGATAAATGAAATGGGTTGATATCAGATATTGACACTCTTGGCAAAACCGTCTAATATTGACATTCTTGAGGCAGCATTAATGCACTTTCAGTGCAATTTTGTTACTATTTATAGTAATATATGTAATAATTACTGATACATTATGAACAGGTTAATCCTTCGATAGCAACGAAAACTTTATGAACACAGAATTTTGCTGACTGTTTGATTGAGTTCTTTCATGAGCAGGAGTGAAAGTCGCGAAATGGGATGAAAGTCCTCATAATATCGAGCAATATCCGGGGTACGGTATGCCGCAGTGAACCTAATACGTTTCAAAACTAGAAATTCAAAAAAACTTCATCAGTCACAGTAGATTGTGTACAGTAAGGGATATAGGTTTATTTCTCGTTGATTAAACTTTCGCTGCTTTATATATAATTAATATACATATAACATAAAGAAAGTTTTCTACTTTCGCGTCATTTTATATTTTGCAGATGAAACGTGTGATAACTAAAGATATACTTTGCTCTTATTTTATATCAGAAAATATTGACAATTGCTACACAGTCTCCTTGTAAATAGAATATGTACTTGTTTTGATTTCCAACAAAGTAGATATCTTATTTGTAAAACTCTGCACACTTTGAATGGTCTTCATAATTATATGAATATATAATAGTGTCATTTTTTAAGAAAAGACCTGTAATAGGGAACAGCTCTCCATACATAGTTTATTCTTTCTTTTATTCAAATAAGACACATTTATTCCAAATAAGATATATTTAGTAAGAATTTCATAGATTTCAATTAATTTCTGTGATTAAAATATTTTACTTAAGGATGAGCATAGTATATCTTTAACAAGTGTTATCATTTTAAAAAAATATTGATTTCATGATATTATATAAACATATTACATGTATATGATTGATCATTTACTAACAATTGTGTGAAGGAATGTTTCATGCCTTTTATTGTTAATAAACTTTTAAAAGTTTTTAATTTTTAAAAACTGGGGGAAACATTTCAACATTTTTACTATATAATAACAGGGTTTTTTTGTAAAAAACAGGTTTTGTTTTTTTTTTTTCATTTATTTATTTGGGACACTCTGGTTTAATGGGGGGACTTCCCAAAACCCCTTTTCCCGTTGGGGAAAAAAGATCTTATTAAACCTCCTTCCTTAGAAATTAAAGGGCCCACAGACATCCAAGGAGAACAACTCACCTTCATGGTAATTTATAATTAGATACATTTCTCACACTAGGTTGTTAACCTGCAGCAGTTAGAGCCAAGTGAAGGTATCGATCATAACCACTCAGCCAAATAAAATTTACATTTGCAATTGGCATTGAAAATGTAGAAAATAAAAAAAAATGTCACTTATGAGGCCGCACATTAACCGGGCAAACCATTTGCGTAATTAAACTTGACTATAATACCATTATTCGGTAAGCATGGCAAAATAGTATATTAAATACATGTATTTAACCCTTTACCTCATATATACGCGAAACAACGCGCCTTCGACCCCCTCCCTCTTTTAGGCCTAAAATAGTGAAAAATGTCCTGTTTGGGCCCCAAACACATGTTTTCGTTTGTTTGGGAAATGTTGATAAAAAAGTGAGCACTTTTTCGGCGCCGACGCCCCTCCAAAAGGTGCATCAGGGGATTGCCAGAAGGGGACATGCCCCCTTCTGCTTCGGGGTGTTAAAGGGAGACGGTAGTCCCCGTCATCGTGCAGAAAATTTTGGACTTGTGAGAGGCTGAAATGACACCAGGTCGATCATAAGGTAACGTGTAACCGACGCTGAAAAGCCTTTGACTCTTTCTGAATCCATTTAGAAGTTACAGCACTTTGAAATCAATTTTGATGGAAAAAAATCAACGCAAAATAGTGATGTTTGGTAATTGTGGATGTCCCCTCGTTGCCATGGTAACAGGAAATTTCAGACTGAGCATGTTGTTACAAATACAGTTGCCCAGTTAACATTTGTGCCAAGTTTGATTAGTATTGATTGAAGAAGTTTTCATAGTTTTATATCAATTTGAACTTGTAACGGGAGACTTTTCAATGAAAACAGCCATTTTTCACAAAGTGCTCATGCAGTATTGGGTAAATGAACAAAATAAAACATTCTACAAAACAACATTTTTTTCAAAATTATATATGTTAGGCCATGTTTTAACATGGAAAAACGCGATTTTGGGTAATTTCAGGTATTTTCATCATTATGTTAAGGATGTGCCCCATTTTGTTGGTGGGGATTTGAAGGGGGCGGTAGTCCCCCTCATCGCCAAGACAATTTTGGACTTGTGAGAGGCTAAAAATGACCCCAGGTCGATCATAAGGTAACGTGTAACCAACGCTGAAAAGCCTTTGTCTCTTTCTGAATCCAATTAGAAGTTGCAGCTTTTTGAAATCAATTTTGATGGAAAAAATCAACGCAAAATAGTGATTTTTGGTAATTGTGAGATGTCCCCTCGTTGCCATGGTAACAGGAAATTTAAGACTGAGCACGTTGTTACAAAGGCAATTGTCCAGTTAACATTTGTGCCAAGTTTGGTTAGTATTGAAGAAGTTTTTATAGTTTTATAGCAATTTGAACTTGTAACGGGAGACTTTTCGATGAAAACAGCCATTTTTCAAGTGCTCATGCAGTAATTGGTTAATGAAAAAAATTCTACAAAACAACATTTTTTTTTTCAAAATTATATGTCAGGCCATGTTTAAACATGGAAAAAATGCGATTTTTGGTAATTTCAGGTTTTTTTCATCATTTTTTTGTTAAACCTTTACCTCATATATACGCGAAACAACACACTTTCGACCCCCCCCCCCCCCCCCATACACACACACACACTTCCCGTCTTTTAGGCCTCAAATAGTGAAAAATGTCCTGTTTTGGCCCCAAACACATGTTTTCGTTTGAGAAATGTTGATAAAAAAGTGAGCACTTTTTCGGCGCCGACCCCCCCCCCCCCCTCCTCAAAAAGGTGCATCAGGGGATTGCCAGAAGGGGACATGCCCCCTTCTGTTTGAGGGTGTTGAAGGGAGACTGTAGTCCCCCTCATCGCCAAGAAAATTTTGGACTTGTGAGAGGCTAAAATAACACCAGGTCGATCATAAGGTAACGTGTAACCAACGCTGAAAAGCCTTTGACTCTTTCTGAATCCATTTAGAAGTTGCAGCACTTTGAAATCAATTTTGATTGAATAAATCAACGCAAAATTGTGATTTTTGGCAATTATGAGATTACTTCTCGTTGCGATGGTAACAGCAAATTTAAGACTGTGCATGTTGTTACAAATACAATAGTCCAGTCAACATTTGTGCCAAGTTTGATTAGTATTGAAGAAGTTTCTATAGTTTTATAGCAATTTGAAGTTGTAACGGGAGACTTTTCAATGAGAACAGCCCAATCAGTCAGCCCGTTGTACACTTTATTTCAAATTCTACAGGCTACTGACTCTGTGAAGTCTACCTATAAAGGAAAGGATGTTACATTTACATTTTACAGAGTGTTTGTTTACATTTTGTGTAGGGAAATTACGTTGTACATTTAGCAAAATTGAAACTTCAACACTTTACAGGTCGCGCTTTAAATGAGGAAAACGGTGAATGATTGAATGTTGTTCACAGGAAGTTGTTCTGATGTGGCATATATATATTTCGAATGATGATTTTATTGTCACTTTAAAATTATATTAATATAGCAAATTACTATTTCCTATCCGTCGATGACCAGTATTGTATGACTATACCACGTGATTTTTTTTGTGATCTGCGTGGGCAGGAAAACAAATACTAAAGACGGTCCACATTTTATGTTCTTTCACAAATTGTGAAATATTTCAATATATATCTTTATGGAATAAAATTTAGAGCCTGCTCATTCTAGCGAGGAATCCATACATAAAATATTTCCTTGGAAAAAAATGTTAAACACTTTATTGTTAACGTTATAAATTAAGAAAGCTTTGGACCATCTGTTGTATTGTTATTGGTTTTTTCTACGAAAATCATAAAAAAGTATCGTGATATAGTCCCCGTGGTTAAGGATAAACTGTGTTGACCATTTTCAGGTGCAGTTGCTTCGAGATAATGCTAATAGGTCTCGTATGATACTTGTTTACTCCGACACAAGATGAGTAAAACGCCCGCCTGAAAAATAAAAGATAAACGTATTATATATATATATACGTATACATGATAACAGATGATAATGTCATACTTAGTAATATTCATGACAAATGATATCATACTTAGTAATTTCTATAACAGGTGATAATGTTATACTTAGTAATATTCATAACAATTGACAATACCATACTTAATAATTTTAATATCAGATGATAACATCATGCTTAGTAATATTCAGAACAAATAATAATGTCATAGTTAGTAATAATTATAACAGATGATAATGTCAAACTTAGTAATATTTAGTACAAATTGTAATGTCATACTTAGTAATATTCAGAACAAATTGTAATGTCATACTTAGTAATATTCAGAACAAATTGTAAGGTCATACTTTGAAATAATTATATCAGATGATGATTTCATACTTAGAGATATTCATGACAGATGATTATGTCATACTTAGTAATATTCAGAATAGATGATTATATCATACTTAGTAATATTCAGAACAAATTGTAATGTCATACTAAGTAATATTCAGAACAAATGTTATGTCATACTTTGTAATAATTATATCAGATGATAATTTCATACTTAGAGATATTCATAACAGATGATAATGTCATAATTAGCAATATTCAGAACAGAGGCTTATGTCATACTTAGTAATATTCAGAATAAATGAATATGTCATACTTAGTAATAAGTAAATCAAGATAACAAAATTAAAAGCATATTAAGATGGTGCGTATACAGCCCTAACAAATAAGGGGGGAAAACGATTTTTTATAATAGTTGATAATGGCATACAGGTATTTCAAAGAAATGAGGGAGTTAATGATATAAAAATAAATCAAGACAAAACATTCTACTAGTTTTGACTTTAATTCGTCTTCATCAGAAATGAAAATCAACGGCATGCAAAAGATACGTCATGTCCGTCCACGCGTAAAAGTTGATGCTATAGGTTTAAGAATAAAATTATTTTTTCCAATATAGAAAAGATGTAATAAAAACCTAATACATTTACACTGACGTTTATTAGGATAGGAAAATGGAAAAGGAAATGGGGGGGGAACCAATTTCCATTACAGATGAATCTAACTGATGAAAGAGTACACATATCATTACTGCTGAAAAAAGCATACGAACATTCATGAGTTATGAAAGTATGTATATGCAATAGGCAAATGAAAGTAGCAAATAAAAGAAAGTGGCAAATGAAAGTAAAGTGGGTAAAAAGTGGTAAACGAAATAAAGTGTAAAAAGAAATTGACAAATGTAAGGAAGTGGTAAAAGAAAGTGGCAAATGAAAAATGTTGCATAAGAAAGTGGCAAATGAAAGTGACAAAAAGAAAGTGGCAAAAGAAAGAAAGTGGCATTTGTAAAGGTGGCTAATGTATATTCATCAAAGGTAAAGATGGTATTTTATCTTTTTCTATCTAAAATCCATATATACCTTTAAACAACAAACTCTGATTATTATGTACACCCCAAACAAAGAACTCTGATAATTATTTACACCCAAAACAAACACACATCATTTATCAGCCACTTATACGAAGTATCGTTTCACGTAAACGTCTTTTATACGAAACAATACTAGACACCTGGCGAGCCCACGCTCTGAACAGCTAATGATATCAAACAAAACAATAAAATCACCCCAAAATGAAGAACACAAAAATGAATATTTTTACAACTCTAAGATACACTATAAACCACAAACATCCAACCAGCAAAGTTTACTTCACAAAATCTAACCAG